GTCCTGCTGCCCCCTGGCCCCCAGCCCTGCTGTCCCCTGCCCCCCACCCAAAGCCCCTGCCCCCAGCCCTGCTCATGACCCTTGCCTCCCAACCAAAGCCCTTGCCCCCCACCCCTGCTGCCCCTTGCCCCCCACCCAAAGCCACTTTCCCCCAGCCCAGGCTCTGTAGCTGTCAGCGGGTACCCAGAACCTGGCCCAGCTGCAAACATCTGCTGCCTCTCCGCCCCAGCACCCACCTGTGGGGCTGTGAGTGGCTGCAGCAGGGAGTGCCAACCACGGGGCAGGGGTGGGGCTGCTTTTCCCCATGCTCAGTACCAGCTCAGGGCCGCTTTTCCCCATGCTCAGCACCAGCTTGTTCCCTGCCATGGAGCAGGGAGTTGAGGCTGTGTGCTGCCCCCAACCTGTACCGTGGGGCTGGGTGGGACACTGGGAGTGAGTGGGTGCATGGGGCCCAGACCGGTGTCCTGGGGCCAGTGCCGGCAGGGCCAAGAGCAGGGAAGCAGGGGTACAGGGCAGAGGCTCTATGGAGCAGGGGTACAGTGGCAAAGGCTCTATGGAGCTGGGCCAGCTCCCCCCTCTCTCTGCTGGTGCAACCCAACCTGGCTCCACAGAACCCTGCCAGCCTGCACTCTGCTCTGGGCCCCACCAGTGCTGGCCCTGAGACATTGGTCCCAAGATGGTGACCAGGGAGCAGGGCACCTTTCAAGGGGCAGAGCTACCCATACAGCCCTTGACAGCTTGCAAAAACTGGTAAGCAGCCTTCTGCCCGAAATAATTGCCTGCCCTGATGTAATATCAGGTTTAATCACTTTACATTAGCCTAGTCTATCAAATTTCTGTGTCAGGTCCCCTCCTGACTCAGGTCGCAGTCCCCTGGCAACCCAAGATGGTTTGTGGCTCCCCTGCCAACCCTCCCTCCCAGTAGCTAGTTGCTGCTCTAGCCCAGTGCCAGGCTGGCCACTCCCCTGGCCTGTCACAGAGCCAAGGCTTCAAAGCCTCTACTCCCTGACTTTGTGTGCTGCCTGCACCTGTCAGCCTGGCCATGCAGTGGAGGGGGGGAAGCAGAGGCCCCCACCCCCGAACCAGCCAGAACTGTTGGGGGGGCAGGGACAAGGTGGGGGCTTTCTCCCCTCCCCCTGCCGACAGACCCAGCATGACTTCTCTGTGCAGCTCTGCCCCCCTGCCAGCTCTTGGCAGCTGGGGGAAGGGAGGGAAAGGGAAGGTCCCTGCCCCTGCCCATCTCCCAGCAGCTCTGACTGGGTCAGAGGCCAGGGCTGGCAGCTGGGTGGTGGGCAGGGCTGGGAAGAGTCTGTGCTGGCTCCCTGCCTCCCTGGGACTCACAGCCGGGGGTCAGAGGCCTGTGCCCAGCAGCCAATCAGGTGTGGCCTGCCAGTCAGCTTCATTGGGTTCAGTAGTGTCCAGCAAGCTGGGGGATTTGCAGAAGCACCTCCCACCTGCTGGCCTCGACCAGTGCAGGCATCCCTATGCCTCATCTGCACTGATGGGGGAACGCGTGCTCTGTTCATTCCCGATCTATTCTTCACAGCTGAGAGGAACCCATGAAGGTTTGATCGATTCCCCCTCAGGCTTTTTGAGTGTTTGTACCTAGCCAGAAAACCTGCTTTGTGTGTTTAGCAAGAGATCAATCTGTCTAAAGAACAGAGCCAGATTTCCTACCGATAGCACGAGTCTCACTCTAAACCTCTTGAAATGTGCTCCCAAACCCTTCCCCTCGCATAGATAGTTTCCCCTCCCACAGTTTTTTTTTCTAACACAGAAGAGGATTTTGAGAAAAATATAGTTTTTTTTCACACCAAGATGAAAGAAAATCTTTGGAAAAATGGAAAAAGAGAGAGAGAAATGGCAATGAGGCAATGAACACACAAATTATATTGTTTTTTTCAGGGTTTCTTAAACAATATGTTATTCAATTTATACCTGATTGGCCTATGGAGGGATTCAGAAGCATGTGTTTAATATCTGCAGCACTTGGATAAATATTTGCTATTTTCAGTATTACCAAAATGTAGGGGAAAAAATCATATGATTAAAAGTCAGCAAAATCTGAGAGACTCGTGCCTCATCACTGAGAATAAATTTAGTTACTTTGCTAGATACAGCAGCATCTAACAAAAATATTGCAAACAAGACTGTATAGAAACAGCAGAGTTTAAAGACCCTATGGAAATGATGGTCTTTAAACTGTTCTGTAAACTGAAAAGTGCTCCTACATATATAGTTCTTCACTGGTTTACAAGGCTCCAGAGTTAAGAGCCAGGCCACTTTCCTGTGCTCTCAATGCTCCCCCTGCTGTCATCTAGGCAGCATGAAAGAAGGAGCCTAACTGAAATGAAGAGGTACAAGGAGCAGAGAATGCGAGTGTGAGCAGGAAAAGGAGAAGGGGATGGAAACGGGGTGCACAGCCTTTTAGAAGGTTAGTTGAGCCTTGGATTTTGAAGATATTCAGCTATAGGCATCCTAAGGGCAGCCATATCTTACACATAAATTTATTATGAGAAAAAACAACAAGATTAAAATTGCAGCTTCACCCACCCTCAGGACAACCTCTGCCAAGTGCTATTGATTTGC